TGAGTGGAAACTACGGAATCCGCACTAGGAAACGGTGAAGTACCCTATCGGAAATAGGGTACGAATTGTGGAACGGGTTTCAGACTGCTACAATACCTTTACCCTCAGAGGAAGTACAAATACATTCAGAACACGGGTAAATGTCCTTGTTGATATAAGATTTTTGTCTTATTCTCTCATAGTCTACGACGACTGCTACATCGTAGTATTATAGTTTATTGGCTTGGCTTACATATATGTATATTTTTTTAATAACAGCTCTTTCACGGTTTTAGTTAATTGACTGACGCAAATCTGTCAGCCAATAACAGTTTTTGCGAGGAGTATTTCTTTTAAACAATGAACAGCTTTGGTTGAACTGTGTCTCTCCATCTGATGTTAAAGTGTTAATGATCTGTCCGCATAAATTTGTTTTTTATTCATTATTAAGGATTTTTTATTGATTTCGACATGCACTCCTGAATCGGCTCTCGTGAAGATCTTTAATACATATTCTCTCCTATCCAACTATAGTGCTAGTTAAACTTGTCTCTGAAATCTATCGATGTCAGCTGATCAGCGATAGGTGTATCTTTTGCAGTTTTCGGTAATCTTCTTTATGACGGTAACGGGGCTAAGGTTGCATCTTAAAGAAGGTGCAATTTAGATTCAGTATTAAATTGATGCCAGTCCACCTCTCTACGATATTCTTTCATCAGAGGACACAATACACGGAGGCGGTGGGCCGTGACTCCATCCCCTTATTCAAAGAAGTATGCTAAAGTCTTAAATTCAGTAGTTCAGCTGAAGGTCAAGGAACATCGAACTTTTTTAATATATAGTGGTTGATGGAAATATAAGGTTTCTGGAACATTTTGAAAGTTCGGACGTACTTGAGTATCAGCGTGAAGAAGTGATGCCGTTACTCTTAGCGACATTTTATTTCATTTATTTTGTCACTTTATCTGTTTATTTTGAAAATTCTTCAAAAACGTGTTTAGTATGAAATAAGTGTAAATTATAAAGAATAGGATTATGAAGCAAAGGCATAATGCGAGTGGTGGATCGGCGAAAGACTATCAATCAGTTCGAATCACCCGAAATGCATGTGGAGATTGAAGACAAACATTCTGCAAATATTCCGATTTGCTTGTTAATCCCGCATTATTTTTGACTTTGGATCCGAACACTCCGAAATATGTTAGGTGGGCTTTTGCGTTTAGGTCCAGATTTGGACTTGTGGTTAAAGCAAATTTTGGCGATTGTATCCAACCCATATATTTGATCTTGAGGGCGTTGAATTCACTTATTATCTAAATAGCTCCGAAAGTATGTTTGTAGCTAAAAATTTCATTTTGTCCCCATTGAAATTGGTCGAAATTCGTCCTCGGCCAAGCAGTTGTCATGTTTTGGGCTTTGAATATTGGTTCTCGGTTGCGTTAGCGTTTAAATTCAGGACCGAAAGTTGCACGGTTCTCGTTAAATTGAAATGTTTGAACTTATTTTTCTGTGGCCTTTTAGAATAATGAATGAAGAACTTCAGTGAGTTCTCTGATTGATCAGAGATTCACGTTTGTGTGTCAACCACGGGACGAAGTCGGCTAAACACGAGGAAAAAATTGAAACGACCGCGCTTCCAGAATTCTGTAGATCAGTACGCAGGTTCACACTGTAGTCCGGATGAAAGTTTAAGCTTC